GAGACAACAGTATACAGAGAAAATAAAAGTGTCCTAGGCGACCGGAACACTTATCATATAGTGAGAGGGGAATATATTCCACCTTCTCAATATATTGTTTTTTGACCATTATCTCTGCCGCTCCTTCTTTATCCGCCTGAAGAAATATTTGTTCATTCATATTCAAGGTCTTACGCATCCTGCAAAATCTGTTCCCGTATGTTGGTTCTTGATGTGTCAAGATCTTTGGAATTAGTTCCATCTCCATTTCCCCTTTTGTATCCTGAGGAAACTTTTTGGACATGTTGATAACCTCCACCAGGATGTCTCTTAGAAGGCCCCTACCATTTTGAAGTTAAATTTAAGTCTTTTTTTCAGGATCGTGGTTGTTTCGGTATCAAGAGCAAATGATGATAGATTCATTACTTTCTTCCGATCGTCGTGCTGATCAGGTGTTGTCACTTCGTAAAAGTACTTTCGCTGGGCGCATTGGCTTTAACTTAGGTCGTATTATAATCCCATACTTACGCAATTTAGCGTCGTGTCGTTGTATTATTAAAGTGATTTCCTGTCGGTCAGGCTCTGGAGTTTTTGGAAGTCTTCCAAAGTCAGCATCCTGTACAGATCATGTCGGAGCTAAAGTTGATTATTCTTTTCCATATTATGCGTTTCAATTAGTTTCTGAATCAAAGCCTGTTGGGGAAACTCATTTACTTTATCCGAATGGTAAGGTCTCTTAAGTTCACAGAAATCGGGAGTGATATCATTTTTCATAGCCCTTCTGACTCCCTTCCCTGATAATTTACGTCGAATAGACGTAAACTCCCTACTATCATTGGTTTCATCGCTCCTAACTTAACATCCTAAATATGATTCAAGAATAAATTAAAAAGGAAGCGCGCATTCGCTCTAGTTTTCTTGACTCGTTAGCTCGAATATGGTTGTAAGGATGATGGCCTTTATATAATGGACGAAAACTTGACACGTTTTCGTCGGAATCGAAGGAGATTGCCTCAGAAACGGCGTCAACAAGAAGTTTTCTATAAAGCCAATCGACAATTGGTCAAAAGTAATCTGCCTTTATCTTCTGGTGGGATCGAGCCTCGAGTCTCTTCACCAATTACTTTCACTCGAAATGGAGGTAAGCTCAACAATTACCAAAGATGAGACTCGTCGAAACCCAGCTTTTCTTAGCCCTCAAGTCCATTTTTATGTGACCAAATTGTCACTATCTTCCAGTTGTGTGATCAACTTCACTCCCGGTTTCCCACCCAGTCTGGAGGGGCAGAGCGAGGAGAAGATGTGCATAATGACCATACGAAATGTGGTTGTTGGGTGGGGACACAGTGTTGGCAGGGAGGAAAAAAGGATGTCACATTTTACTGACGAAGGCTGACTGGTAGGTAGCGCTGATTCGCTTCACAAAACGTCGCACGTTGCCTTAGAGGCCTCACTTGTCCCTAAGTGATTTCCACCATCTTGCCTCCAAGTCGCGTTTTTATGCCAGCGACCAGCTGACTACTGACAACACTTAAGTAGTAGTTTGTATTTAGTACAAAATACGGTCCCCTCCCCCCGTCGATGCAGAGCCTCTCATGGAGCCTATGATTTGTGCGTTTTTTAGGTAATTCCTGTTATGTAACACAACAGGATCGTTGCGGGTGTTGATGAGCCGAGGAGGCCGGGCCGGAAATGCAGCCAGGCCTGGACGAAGTGACGTAGTGAAGTGGAGTTGACTTGAAAATCGAGCCTTCCATTCGGTTAATCTGGCCTAGACTGAGTGGCACCATACCAGAACTGGGACACCCTGTTGCAGGCTGCATGAACCCAACGACCGAAGACTCAGCACTAGGCACACCCTCTTCAGTCATCCTGGCCACATCGCAAAAATGACCCAATCAAGGCCTGAATTTCGCAAGACGACCGAGGCCACACCCACCGTCAAGAGAGCCCCACTTGGCTCAGGGTTTGTCACTCAAAGCCAGGAATAGTGAGCATACCGTTGGAGGGAGAAGCTGGCAGACTGTCGTGAAGAGAGAAGCATTAACTTACTTTCAACCAAAACATGAAATGGACTCAGTCTCCATACTGACAGGTGGAATATCCACTTAAATGTATCATGACAAACTGAGGTGTTTTTAAGTTATGCTTACTAGCATGAAGTTAATTTTAAAAACGAAAGCAAGTTATTATACTTTATAGGGCGGAGAACATGTAAAACGTGTGGCCGTTGAACATTAACATCTGTGGTCTATGCAACTTAATCGCCTATACGAAGAGAAACCGGTTTCCGAGGCAACTCTCGTTATATGAATTTATGTGGTGCAGTGATTCTTAGGTCGAGGATAATACGTGACCAAGCTGGAGTATGCTTTTGGACCTAAAATAGCCAACCAACTCGTGGTTGTTGCATACACACACGAACAAACAAGACTCAGGATTACATAACCATACGCTAGTTTAGTTGCATATACTAAAGTTGAGACCACATGCATGTAGGACAAGCATGAAACAGCCAACTAAATCACACAAGGCCTCGTGAAGATCGCAATGTGAGGTATAAGAAGAAAGTAGGATCTCAACTGGCCACCTTTCTTGTTTTCGCGTATTTTAGGTGATTTTTGTGTGAATAATGCTTTATGGTTTCGACGATGTCCGTCATATGACGTTTTGGTTTAACATTGGACCTAAACAAAGCCAGCAGTACCACAAAATTTGTGGGTTGGCACACAAACAACTAGGGCATGGCAAGTCATAGAGTTGGTATTAGGGATAGAGACAAGATAGACGAGCCGGCGATTGGGGCTAGTTGGCTGACAGTAGGTTTTACCAGAGACGTGGTACATGTAGGAAAGGCATGAGCATGAGACTTAGTCAGAGGCTTTAGGCTCGAATTAGTCACCAAGACGCAGGGGTGGGTTAATTACGCCTCGAATAGCACAGATGGGGGGGGGCAGGGGTCGAGTGAAATACATGCACCAGGGAGATAGCAGACGGATTCGATGGGGCAAGAGGGAGACTTTGATAGGATTCAGGGAAGGACTACGTAACGATAGGACAAACTCTGGTCAACATTCCCAGCACAAGGGGGTGATAACGACAGTGTGGAGTGTGAATGGTTGTCATGACTGCCGCTCAAACGAGCACACGACACTACATTAAGAATAAGCACGGCGGAAACTGTAACAGGGACGGCATGGTAGGACGAAATAGCAAATGTGAATGGGCCAGGGCAGAAGGGGAGATACCATCACTGTTTAGCACACGTTTGGTCAAAGAATGGGCTTCACTTGTCTCTTTGACGACTTGTAATATGGTGCTACGAATGGCGAGACTCACTGACGATGCCG